TGCCTAAAGATTATTCGAGGTTGTTGAACTTACCGTGTTTGCAGCGTCAGAAACACCTACTGTGAGATCTTCAGATGGACTAGCGGTGCCGGGTTCTCCGCGTTTCATCAAGTCCTTCGCGTGAGCGGTGGTCATCTTCTCGGCAATGTTTAGTTTGCTTTGGAAGAAAGATGGCTCGTCTGCTTTTGCCGCACTAAGCGCCGGACAGGAGCATGTTGTTTGCAGGTGGGCATCGGAGTTAAGTTTTCTACCGGTGACACTTAGTTGTGATGTGGAGAGTTTGCTTTCACTAGTCTCCACCTCCTGCTGCTTCTTCTTCCTTTGCTCACGCAAACGTATCTGACTTAGGAACTTGTTTCGGTGGTCATCCAGAGCCGGACCCCAGGTGTATGCGGGCTTGAGCAGTTCACGTAATACCTAAAAAAATTTACAAACACGCACTACTGTTATTACTGTTACAATGATAAACGCCGCTACAGCTGATACCTGTCGCAGTTTTAATATTAGTTCTTAATATTACTGCAATTTATTAGAATATGAATACGAAAACTACGATCGGAATTTGGTATCCCTCTTGCGTATGCATAATCAGAAACCACTACGGCTGAACCGGCATTGATCAATACTTCCATCTCCAATTCTTAGTTCGTCACAACCAATATTACTCATAAAACTACTAAACGTGTATGGACTTTTAGCTAGTTTCTATACTGCTGGTGTGGTGTATCGTGCAACCCTTATATATGCACAACTAGCTGCCTGTTTAGACTTAAATGAATATTTCGCGGATATTACACTGTTGCGGATTGACTTCTGCCTAAATATTCATATAAACTTTCGGTTTGAGTCTGTAGCCCCTAGAATATATTTATTGACCCCAAGTTAGGGATTAAATGATGAGGAAATTCAAAATTACCTCCTGTTCCTAACATAGATGGATGATTGCACTGAAGAGTTGGACTTTAATACAGAAATGTATGTTGATGACATGAAAGCCTAGAAAGAGACCAGGGGCCTGTAGACGAGTTTACCCTCAGATCAACTTAGATCGGCTTGAAGAACGGTCGAACCCTTGGCTTCTGTCGTTTAGCGTCGGTAAATGTACAATACTCCGCCTAGGTCATCCATCTAGGTTCGATAACATTAGAGGCTACTCGATTGAACATGCAGCCCTTCAAGACGTGGAAATCTAAAAGAAAATTGGCGTGCAGTCAACGAATTCCTTAAAATGTCTTCTCATTGCTCGGCAGTAGCGAAGAACGCAATGTCCGTGTTCCAAGCCATCAGGAGAGCACTTCTGGATTTTGATGAAGATATTTTCCTCAAGAGTTTAGGAGTATTCGTGAGGGCGCATTTGGAGTATGCCATAAAGTCTAAAGACCCTCTAAGCTCAAGATCAGAATAGTCTCGAAGGGCTTCAAAGGAGGGCCAATGAAAGGGTTAGGAGTCAACTATCCTTGCCCGATGAAACCCTCTTAAAAAACCTCGGTCAGCTCTCGTTGAAGTTTAGGAAAATTCGCAAGGATCTCTTACAAGCGTGCCGCATTCTTAAGGGATTGGCTGGCGTTTGGGACAATTTTGGATCCCCTATCACGACCACTTTGCGTTCAGCAGGCAAAACCTCATGTGCGCTAGTTCTCCCTCCTTGTTAGAGTGATCACATCACGGAATTCCTTACCCA